AGCATTAGGACAAGAGGCAATGGGCAGAAACTGAGGCACAGAAAGTTCCATCTGAACACGAGGAAGAATTTCTTTACTGTGTGGCTGAATGTGCAGTGGAACAGATTGTCCAGAGAAGTTGTGCAGTCTCCGCCACTGGAGATATTTCAAGAACAGTCTGGATGCAATTGTGTGCAATGTGCTGTAGGATAACCCTGCTTAAACAGGGAGGTTGGATGAGAGGACCCACTGTGGTCCCTTGCAGTCTGACCCATTCTGTTACTTTGTGATTATCAGTTAACTACATAAAAGTTTGGGACCCCTGGTGGCCTAGTGGTTAGCATGCAGGACTCTCACCACTGCGACCCAAGTTCGATTCCCCGGTCCCCCGGGCAGATGGAGCTCATTAGCCCTGTAAGGCCATCCATCTATGAGAAGGTCACTCTAAACAAACCTATGTCCTGAGGACCTCACTGCCATTGTCCAAGCTTGCTTGGCCCCGGCAGATGAACCTTCAGATTAAAGGGTGGGCTCAGTTCAGCACAAGCTGTGTCTCATCTAAAAAATCTATTGCGCAGGCTGGAAAGGTAAAAGACCTTTCCCAAAATCTTTGTTCGTGAAGACTGGCCATACATACATACATAAAAGTTCACTTGATTTAGAAGGATGTTAATTGCACACCCAGTTACATGTAATCACTGCTACTTCAGAAAATAAAATCAATCTTTTGATAGAATAATTCTTCTAGAATAATACTAATATAATACAGATTTGAAAACTAAAACCAGAAAAACAACAAAAAAGCTATCAAATTTACTAAGAAAAAGGATTTTAGCAAGTTATGATTTCATTTTTTTAGATGTTTCTGAATTATGTTGTTATCTACCAAGAATATACTGATGGAGAATAAACATTTCTGCTGCAAATTTTTGGTCACTTCCACACAAGGCATCATGATTCAGATAAAAACATGTTCTCTATGCATAATTAATTAATCCTTAGGCATACAGACCCCTCACAAGGCAATAAAGTCTCTCAAAACTGTACAAGGTATTAAAATGGCCTTTGTAAAACAATCAATATTTTTCTCTACATAATCCTAATATTTAGGAAACTGGTGAATATATTCACTAATTTTTGAACACATGATTATAAGATATACATAGGATACTTATAAGAGAAGATTGACATACATGTGTAACCACAGGTCATACTAAAAATGGTCTTTAAATAGTTCTGGCTGTGAATAAACTGTCTTACAATAATAGAGCAAATACTGCTAATATGCTAAAATTAGCCCACAGAACTTGTGCTGGATGAATTCAGAATTACCTGGTTGTGAAAGGTAAAAATATACTGGTAAAAACCAAAATTTTCCTTTTTTTTTTTTAGATTATATTATTATAACCCCTGTTTTGTAACTCTAGAGATTGCTCTTTGTGGCTCATCTACTCTGGTCATAACACAGTTACCGAGACATACTGAACTGTATTACATATTTCCTTACATTGCTATTTGCTATGAGTGATACCAATATTTATTTGGAAAGAAAAAATACAGATTAAAAATTGTTTCCCTTTTATTTTACTGAAAATAATTTGTAATAGAATATTATGAAGAAAAAAACCCCAATAATCTCAATAGATGCATTTTCAAAATACCTAACTAGTCTATGAAGATTTTGTTTACGCCAGTTTCTATCCACACAACGATAACACTTCAGAAGAACTAAACTACTTGAAGCATTCATGGAAAATGTTTCTGTACTGTATGAAGATTTTCTGCAGTTCCATTAGGGCTTTCTTATTCACTATTCCTTCAGTAGAAATGAATGCTTGACTTACACTATTCTCACTTTCAATAGGAATATTTTTGGAAACAATATAAATTTTTACAAAAAAGGATAAAATTTTCATATAATTGTATATATATAAATTATTTAATATAATTTTAAGCTTGGTTAACTGGTAAAGTGAATTCTGTGCTGATGGTAAGTAGCTTAATGAACCAGAACTTTTTAACCACAGCTACAATACTGCATGGGTGTGGGAGTGCTCACCTTTTCTCCAGGGCTCCTCATCAGTTTTGAGCCATGACACCTGTTTATTGAATTGAGGTGCAGTTGACTCTACAGAGACATCTGGTCTTTGACCTTTCCGTTATGATTTCTAGATGTGAACTATTGTCACAACATGCAATATTTTTGTAATGTGGTTCTTCATCCTCAGCATTTGAACTCATTCCACCATCACATTTCAGGAAGGCAAATGAGTGTCAAGCTAAAAGAATGTTCAAACTCAACCAATCTAAACTGGCTTCAATAATATAGCCTAGAGGTTAAAGCTTTAATATTCTAATTCGAGCTTGCCAAGTTATTGAACTGACAGTCAGTGTTAAGCATTTTCATACTTATGTATTCTTATTAGTAATATGAAGTTCCTCATAAAAGCTTTAATAATTGCCTCCTTTAACTCTATGATCACAGAAAGCAATAGATTGCATCTTAAATGCCTATATCTAGTTTCCATTTTTTTCATTAATCAGAGCAAATTAATTCTAAATAATGAAATGTATTGTCTCATCTTGCATGTATCTTAATTATCATTGAAAGTGCCATAGGTGTATCCCTGTTCATCCAAGTTTAAATATGGAATCTGAGACACAGTGAAGTCTAAGAGACATACTTTATATTCCTACACTACCAAAATTTCACCCTTAAGAAGAATTTTATGTTGACATTTTCAGGGCTGGAATGTGCTCACCAAGCAGAGGAAAATAAAACACTGAATTTCTGGTTAAAAGAAATCAATACCTAGCAACCTCTATTCAAGTTTGAGCGGGGTTTTCTGTTATTATGAAATTTCACTAAATTAATTTCTGTAAGAGATAAAGTTTGCTGAATTTGGATTTCTTTTTTTCCAATAAAATTTGAACTTAAAATGAATGGAAGTTGAAAAATTACATATCAATGTATACATGACACAAATACAGAATTCTGAAACTGACAAAAATATTAAACTATTCAAACTTCACTGTTAATTGGGCTTTTCTTAAATTTTATTTTTTTATTTTTATTTTTAACTTCCAATTGGTTTTTCATTGTTATTAATTCCTTCAAGGAAATTTCTTATGTTTGATAGGGTGACAGGATTTCAGCCTAGGAAATTATATTTATTCAGGATTTGCAGTCTTAAAGAGGTGGGAATCTAGCCACAGAGAATCAAGTCTTCTTTAACTGTGAAATATAAATATTAAGTTCACATTTATTTAAAAAGACAGTACTTCAAGAGACCGCAGAAATAAGTTAGAGTTGAATTTATTAGATGTTACTTCAAGATTGTGAATTTGTTCTGAGAACATGTTTATTAATTTGGGTTAAACACATTACTGCATCTAATCTACTTGTAATTTTATAGTAGGAAAAACCAACACAAGGCGACAATTTTATTACTTTCAATAAAAGTAATTTATAGTTTATCTAAGGAAATGAAATATAAGGATGACCAAATGACATGATTTAGATCATATTTTAATCTGTTACTATTTTAAAAGGCAAGGAGAAAAGTCCTCCAAAGGAAACTTTCTATCAAAATGGAATTTTGTTTTTAGTATTCACTCAAATAGATAGACACTGGTTGTGTGACATCCCTTATTTTGGACTATGGTGTAATAGCTGACACTATACTTTGATGATATCATAAAGAAAAAAGTCACTCAGAAGACTGATCAGAACAAATACCTGCCTGGTTTAAAATGTAACAGACTCTGGGTTGTGTGCTCTTCATATATGAATGTCAGAAATCACCTTTCCTCCTCTGTAAATTCTCCATTTATCAGCAATAAAAAAGAATTAAGATAATTAAGAATCTATGCTACATCAGTGGTCCTAACTCTGCAATTGATGTACCTAATGTAATGACCATTTCCACGTCCATATAATATGAAATATCATACAACTTTATTATTCTCAGCATCTAGTATTTTGAAAGTGTTTCTTGAACTCATTAAATTCTGGAACATGACTCCTTTTTGTATAACAAGGATGCATAATTGAAGTTGTAACACTATTCTACTTTTTTAATGGATGGATAGAAATATGAAAAAGTACTATGAAAAGGTATCTAGCTTAGCAAAAGCCTTATGGTGTTTCAGTGAAAGATGAAGATTTGTGTTTCTCAGCACTCAAGATCCAACAGAAACTTTCACTTTATAACAAAGTTAAAAAAAAGAAAGTATGGTATATTAAGGCTGAGTCATGAGTCTGAAATGTGATTACAGTCATCAGACCTTCATTATTCAGAACTGCTCTAACACTTAGAAATATGTAACCATCATTTCTGTTGTCTCTGCTCAGCAGCTAAAATAAAAATTAAAAATAATCTTATTTCAGATGCAAATTCCTAGCTAGAGAGTGTTATATAAGCGTTACTACAGTTCTGCTAATATTAGCAGAAGTTATGATGTAATTTATTAGAGCTTCATAAAAGTTGCTTATCAAAGGAACTTTGACAGGTCTCAGTGACCTCTTAAGCCTATCAGCATACCCTGTAGTCGAAAACAGAAGAGCCTCTAGAGTTTTGTCATACTGATGTGGGTGGAGGGAGGGAATATTGTGGAAGAAGTCTGACAAGTAGTTGACAAATAGATTACTGAAATTTGAAAAACTGACAATATCGAACATTTCTGAGTGACTCATGCTGTACTAAACTAACTACAATAAGCACTCAGATTTCCAGATATATAGGAATCAAGGATTTCTGGAAAATAGACATGGAGCATGTATGAATCAACTGCTCTGTTCATATGATATAAAGTTGATGTGTAAATACAGAACAAATTTGATGTGTCTGTGATTCAGGCTTCCTACATATGAGATCAATCATAGATTTACAGTTTGGAGAATTTTCCAAGAGAGCCTGGAATACAAGTTTTGTTAGATAGACACTGGAGGATGTTGTTATAGCAGTTAAGTCAGAAATGACAATTTAGCTGATCAAAGTAATAGATCTACACCAACTTACCACCTCACCACAATGTCCTCATAGCGCAGTCAACGACTGGAGGATTAAAAGTGTAAGACTCTTCAAGATTTCCCTGAAACAGAAAATCAGACATGTTTTTATTTGTCTTTCTATAGCAACACCAATAAATTCTGGAGGCTTCAAGAAATAGATAAATTAATACACTGGTGATAAATAACTTCTGCAACTGATATCATTGAAGGACAGTAAAACAAAGTGGAATTTCTAGGGTAACTCTGATGTAAATGAGTATAAATCATAAATTGTCATATATAAAATTATTTAGTTATTTGTAATGAAATTTCCTGTATTTGATTGAAGAGTTTATGAAAAAAATTGTGTTTCAAACACTTTGTCTTAATTATAAACACTTTCTTGCTATGTGACTGTGCTAGACAAGCTCTTTTTCAATTTACTATTTTTAGTGCAACAATGTTGTTTCATAACTGAACTTATGCTATTAGCTCTTTAAGTGCACCAGACATATCACCAAACCCTGAAGTACTTGCACAGGCAGTATGTTATTTGGTAAATTATCTGAGGTTTCTGGAAACAGAACTGAAACCTTGTCAATAGTAAAATTATCTCTTCACATACTATAAAGTAGAATCAATCTCTAGCATATGAATGTCCATTCAGCTCATTAATTTAACTCCTTCTCACTAAAAATCAGGCTTACGAGGTGGGCCTGTGCAAACCTTATAATACTCAACCAGGTCAGAGACCCCTGGTGGCCTAGTGGTTAGCATGCAGGACTCTCACTGCTGCGACCCGGGTTCGATTCCTCGGTCTCCCGGGCAGATGGAACCCGTTAGCCCTGTGAGGCCATCCATCTATGAGAAGGTCACTCTAAACAAACCTATGTCCTGAGGACCTCACTGCCATTGTCCAAGCTTGCTTGGCCCCGGCAGATAAACCTTCGGATTAAAGGGTGGGCTCAGTTCAGCGCAGGCTGTGTCTCACCTAAAAAATCCATTGCGCAGGCTGGAAAGGTAAAAGACCTTTCCCCAGATCTTCATTCGCGAAGACTGGCCATTATAACCAGGTCAAATGCAAGGTCCTGCACCTGGGTCGGGGAAATCCAAAGTACAAGTACAAACTGGGCAGAGAATGGATTGAGAGGAGAATGATTTGGAGGTGTCAGTTGATGAGAAGAAAAACACGATCCATTTATGAGTACTTGCAGTTCAGAAAGCCAACCACAGCTTGGGCTGCATCAAAAGGAGCGTGGTTGCGGGAAGTGATTCCCCCCCTCTGCTCTGCACTCATTAGACCCCCCCCCATCTGAGATACTGCATCCAGGTCTAGGGTCTCCAACGCAAGAAAGATGTGGACCTGTTGGAACAAGTCTAGAGGAGAGACACTAAGTTGACCACAGGGCTGGAACAGCTCTCCTGTGAAGACAAACTGAGAGAGTTGGGGCTGCTCAGCCCAGAGAAGAGAAGGCTTGAGGGAGAACTTATAGCACCTTCCAGTATCCAAAGGGTGCTTACAAGAAGGCTGGAGAGGGACTTTTGACAAAAGCATGTAATGACAGGACAAGGGGGAATGACCTTAAGATGAAGGAGTACAGGTTTACATTAGATATCAGGAAGGAATAGGTTGGCCAGAGAAGCTGTGGACTCCCAGTACCTGAAGGTTTTCAAGGCCAGGCTGGATGGGGCTCTGTACAACCTGGTCTAGTGGAAAGAACTGGATGATCTTTAAGGTCCCTTCCAACACTAACCATTCTATGACTATAATTCTATGATCTTTCCTAGGAATAAAGGCTCAGAAGGGTCATACTGTTCAATCTGGAGAAGAGAAGGCATTGACATACATAAACAATTGAAGGGAAGATGCAAAGAAGATGGAGTCAGGCTCTTTTCTTTGATGTCCAATGACAGGACAAGAAGCACTGGGAACAAGGAAACACAGAAAGGTCTGTATAAATATTAGAAAACAGCTTTCTTACTGTGAGGGTAACTGAATGCTGAAGCAGATTGCACAGAAATGGTTGCGGAATATTCATCTTGGAAATACTGAAAAGCCATCTGGACAGGGTCTTGGGCAACCTGCTCTCAGTAGATCCGATTCAGCAGGGAGGCTGGACCAAATCCAACCTCAACCACTCTGTGATACTGTGATATTTTATTCATGGCACTTAAGAGTTTGCATTATATTGACCCACCTGGGCAGACTGGGATTGATAGGCACGTTCTACCTCTTTATGTATCTCATTGGTGATGTTCAGAGTTCACAATATCCCTAAATGATTCAGGAAAGAATAAAATTAAATAGCAAAAAATAATGAATAGTGACCAAGGACGTTTCACCCTAAAAATGCTCTTCTCCTAAACTTCAGGAAAAAGTAGTCTATTTCTGTCATACTACAATAACAGTTTCAGTGATTTATTTTATTTAATGCACTGCATATGCAACAGAAAGTTGTTGAGAAAAGGCACGTAGAGAACTTTTGTAAAAGTAAAGAAATATTAAGTAATATAAAATGCAATGGGAGCATATTTGGAGCATTTATTTAATATGATCTCACAGTGCATTCAAATGTGGTGCAGCATGGTTGTATATGACAATGGACTGAGTCAGTTATTTTGAAGTCAGAAGCATTTCAATATCTGCCTTTTTTTCGTAGTCATACTGGAAGCAGAGTGAATACAAATATGCAAACAATAATGTTGTCGGTGCTGAAGGCTGGATGACAGGGTTCACATGACTACCTTGAATACACATTTTGTTACATTTTAACACTGCTGTGTTTATGGCAGAGATTTTTTAGGTTGACACTATTCACCAGTTAGCATTTCCTTTATGTATATAAAAGCATCAATTAATTTTTTTTAACTTAAGTTGCTTAATTAATCATCACATTGTAGGAATGTTGGTTAAACAATAGGAACTCCTAAAATACATTCTGAAAACTGGCACACTACCCATGCTCCTTTTTCATAAACACATATGCAAATACAAGATTCTTCCCCTCTTTTATCTGTCCCCTTTGTTAGTCCCCTATGTCTTTTAGCTGCTTGTATTGAACTTTTCTTGCTCTATTTACATAGGCTTTCATCACCTGAAAATTAGGAACCTGTCCATGTTCATAAATTCACTGAAAGATTATTTTTATGTTCAGTATTTTCCTTTTCTGTTAATACTTCTAGTTTTCTTCAACTATTCTTTAAAAAAAAAAAGCAACAACCACAAAAAAAACCACTAACAAAACAAAACAGTAATTCTAACCACAAAAAGTAAAAATAATGCCTAAAACGTATTCTTAACATTTTAACTTCCTAAGCACAAGAGCAGCCCAGTTTAAATAGATTAATTTATTGGCATTTTCTTGAAGAGCAATAAACACATTCTCTGGACATTTAAAAGAAAGAGGAAGAACCATTGCAAAGTTGTGTAAGTGGGACAGAAGTTTAGTGAGGCTAACTTTTTCCTATATTTGGGGGCATGCATGCCTTTCACCTGCACCTCCCCTTGCATTGTTTCTTTTCTACCTATCATTCCATGGCTCTTTTCTATTCTTTCTCAATTTCTCTTAATAATTTCACTGTTAGGGCTTATTAAATTTTCATCTCAGTATCATCAAGGATGTCAGTATATCAGCATTGCTATGAGTCTAAATCACAGATGATAAAACCTTGAAAATTGACAAGATCAACAGCATATCTGAATATCCTAAGGTAGCTCTGAAAACTCCTCTATTAGGTTTCCTAAACTTGCAGACACAGAAAAATGCCCACTACATGAAAAGGATGGTACATTACATTGCTACAAATATCAAGGGAATTATATTGTTATACATCCCCAAAGGATCAAGAGGTTTGTCCCTGCTTCAAAATAAAATAACTTATAAAATTACTTAAATTTTTAAAAAAATATTCACTTCCCCCAAAAATCCCTTGTGTCTCCAGAACATTTATTCCTTACCTCTAAGTATAAAATATACGAAAGCAGATGTCACAGCCTCCAAACCTTGTTTCTAAATCTGTGTCACACAATGCTAAAAGCTCTGGAGAGAAAGGACATGGTTTGTGCTGAGTGGCTGTCAGCAAACGTAGGAGAGAGACAGTTCTGTTAGATGCTGTGTGACCATGGTCAGGCCTCTCTCAGGTTTGTCACTGTAAGTGGAGATGACAGTCTTCTGCTATGTCCCTGATATGCCGTGGAAATAAATTCATTGAAGAATATCGCGAAAGCATATGAATCTATGTGAATGAATGTAACTCATTTAAATTTGACCTCATTAAGGCTAATTCTCTTGTGATTGTCCTTCAGTCTTCTTCATAATCACTCTTATATTGAAATGATGAAAATAATCATTCATTGTATTTTATGCTTGAAGTGGACAAGACTAACAGATACCCCAGAAAAGAGAGTATGTCTTCCTGTTGTGTTTTTGTGCCCTGTCCACTCTTACTCCCCTGACAGAGTCCATGAGTCCAAAGAACTTAGCAATGATACTTAAGAAACAAGAGTCTTGTTTTCTGCAAGTTTATCTTTTTGATGACAGTTTGATAAATGGTACACCAGAACAGGGAAAGGGGCAGAAGAACATGATTTGGGACTCTTTATGATAACTAGATGGTAGCTTCTTTTTTTTTTTGAAGAAAAAAGTCACAAGCAGGGAGAGTTGAGGTCTCTTTAGCAACTGAAAAGCCTATCAGGACAAATGAGATTGTAGTCAAGCCTATTTTTTTCAAGAGAAACAGTGTGGTTTTATCCATGGATACGGCACAGGGTAGAAGATGAGGTCCTATATGGATTCATGAACAAGAAACCACTTCTGTGCTCTAGAAAAGAAAGAAACTCATACAACCAAAACAAAAAGTAGTGAGAAGAGAAGGAATTAAGCAACTCTGACTTATAGTCAACTTTGTACCAACAACTGTCATACTGGGATAGTCTAGATCTGAGTAATTTCATTTAGATGCTGGACACTTGCATCAACATAACACCGTCTGTAACATTAGCTATCTTCAGATTTAGATTATAAAAAGTATGTAGAAAACCTCTAAAAACGAAAGCACTGAAAAAATAAAATATTGGTTTCATTATAAGCAAGGTAGAGGA